TTATAATTTTTTTTAGTTTCTTATACGTTGTTTATACGTTGTTCGTTATACTTTGTAGGTATCACCGGTAACTCGAGCATTTTCACAAGCGCGTTTTGTTAAACATGCACATCAATCTCAAGAAGAAAAGAATAAAGAAAATCAATTGGAATTAAAAATGGTCAGACAAGCTGAAAAGGAATTAAAAGAAGAACTTATGCAGGTATTATAATTATAATTCATTATTTACTACATATTTATTATATATTAGCATTTCGAAATCATAATTCAGTTTACCTTATTAGCCTCCCACGCACTCATTTACCGCTGAACCTGAAGATATGAGAACATACAACGAAAAAAGGATGGGTTTGTATATATTGACGCATTAATATTATTATTAAACTTAATACATATTAACCTTTTTGTTGTATTGTATACAATTAGAATTATTTTCTTCAGATGATTTAGGATCCGATATGAGACAACGAAGGTTAGATTGTTTATCAGAAACACACTTAATTCATTATTCATTCATTCATTTATATTAAATAATTTTCTAAAATGTTTTTCTTTTATATTTATTATAGAATTTATGAATATGAAGACACATCCAATATTGAAACAGTTCTGCAGCATCACAGAAAAACTCAAGATGAACTTACAAGTGAATTAGTAAAAATGGCAGGAAAATTAAAAATGAATTCGGTGACATTTGGCGATATATTGACCAAAGACGAAAAGGTTCGTATTTTTTTTTTTTTTGTCAAGTTACTCAAATTATCCTTTTTTATAACCCTTTATATTATAGATAATAGATGAAGCTCAAAGTAGCCTCGGTATTAATTTAGATAGATTAAAAAAGGAAGGGATGAGGTTGGGATCGTATGCTGCACAATCCGGTAAAACAACATGGTTGGTATGGGGAGTTGTAATGTTCGTTTGTATTACATTCATTTTAATGTTTATGTTAATTCGAATATCATAAGAATAACGATAGTGAAATAATAGAAAATAGGTT